TTACATAACAACTTGCTGCACTGAATGCGAGTCATTCTATGTGTAAGCATTTGCAAGTGTTGCTAGACAATATGAAACATAACCGTGCTGCCATTATTACGGCATTTCTATCCGCCGGTCTGTGTTTACTACACCGTCTGTACGCTAGACCGGTCATCAGTTTTTCGGGCATGTCTCAAAAACGGTATAAGATACCATCTTGAAATTTTCACCGAAAAAAAGCTAATAAATTATCAAACATGAAAACATTGTTTTGATAAAAATCCATGAAACAGACGATAATTTCCACAGCTTTTCTTTTGAATTTTCTTTCATTGTGAAAACTTCCATGAGAAATTTGTTTCTAACTGTATTTTTTATCAATAGCTGACACAATTACAAGTAATTTTTGTTAACTGACTTTGACTATGCAATGCTTGGTTCAAAATTTATGATTAGAAGTTGGTGGTGTCCGAGAAAATCGGAAAACTTTAACTAAGGTTTTCCGGAAAAAATGGCAACCCTGATTTTTTTAAATTTACTTTTGTTTATGGACAAAGTTTCATAGAAATCGAAGACTTTCGGCCGAAACCTGTTCGGAAATTGAAAAAAATCCCCAAAAGCGATCAACACTTTTAAACTAATCTTTATTTCCCTAATCCCAGGATGGTAAAAACCGCCCGGAAATGGAAGCTCTAATAGAAAAAAATGCGTGCTGAAAAAAACAGAGACTTCTTCTTGTTTTACTTTGATCCTTAATAGGCTCAAACGCTTATTTGCTTCACTTCTGCGCTGACTCCAGCAATACTCCACCGAATACAAGAATCCCCCAAATAGCTAGATGTATGAGTGCTCATTGCAAGACGGCGTATATCACGTGAGATACGTTGTAATGTGAACGGGGTATAATCTTATCTTATATGTCTCCAATTTCGCAACCCCTGATTCAAGATGGGGGCTTCCTAATAGCGAATACGCATTAAATCCCATAGGGTGGATCAAAATATCCGTGTGCTACACCCAGCTCAATCGATTTTACATCATGTTTGACCATTCTCCCAAAATGTTAATGCATTTGGCTATGATCTTATACCCTGGACAGACTATGGCTTATATCACGTAATATAGGCTGGCTTGCAATGAGCACCCATACATCTAGTTTTCACTGGAAATCCTATGTATGAGTGCTCATTGCAAGACAGCTTATATTACATGATATAAGCCATAGTCTGTCCGGGGTATTATACTGCGCTGGCCCTTTGAAGTTTATATAAGAATTACAATAAGAATAGTGGTTAGCAATTAGTAAGGCCCTTGCTATATCTCTTCGGACCGACAGGGGCTCGGGGTTGATCAGTTGCAAACGACTTTCGTAGCTAGGCAATCGGAAGGTATCCGTCCACGGCAGTTTACGTAGTGCATATCTCAGGAACCGTCGCTGAACAGACTCAACTCTTTCGACACCGTTGTTGTAGTGAGGAGTCCAGACAACCGAGCAGTATTCTAACATGCAGCGAGACAAAGAGCAGTACAAATATTTAAGCAGTAAATATCCGTGAAGTCTTTGACAATCCTGAAGATAAACCTTAGAATTCTGGAAGCTTTGTCGACGGCATACGAGATGTGCTGCTTGAAAGAAAGTTGTGTATCTAGAATCAAACCTAGGTTCTTAATTTGGTGGACGCGCTCAGTGCCTAACAAAACATACTTGAAGCCCTGGAAAATATCTCGGGATTGATGTCAATTCTGCTCATGGTTTGGCCAGAGAGTGATACGTAACTGGCAGCTAATGGGGTATGGTCGTCACTCAGTCTCTCGTCCGTGAAGACACTAGCAAATTTTTCAGAGAACAGCTGACAGATATTTTGCGTAGATGAGGACACGTTACCATAATGTATCATAGACGATGGTAGACCAGCTCCATGACGTTGTTCTTTGGCAAGCTTCCAAAACTGCTTGGGACGTGACTCCCGTTCACATTACAGCGTATATCACGTGATATACGATATCTTGCAATGAGCACTCATACATCTAGTTTTCACTGGCAATCCTATGTATGAGTGCTCATTGCAAGACAGCATATATTACGTGATATAGGCTGTAATGTGAACGAGGTATTATACGTAGTTTATGAACAGTCCCTTAGTGTAAAACTTCAAAAGCACAAATGTCAGCTTCCACAAAACATACAATTAGAAAATTGCCACTCTCTGTATGTTGTAGCGCAGCAACCAAGGAGTAGCTATTTCATATTTATATCTTTTGTGGAAGCAGATATTTGTGCTTTTGAATTTTCACGCTAAGGCTTCCTTAGAGTATCACCTTAATGGCAGCGTTTTAAATGTGTCCGAATTATTTCGTGTTCAACCTTCATGTTCTGAAAATCTTGATCTAGTTCTGGTAATCGTGATTCATGTTCATGGGTTGTGCTTGATATTGTGAACCTGTTCTTGAAAACGGGAGCATGCTGCATGTTCTTGGAAATGGAGCATGCTGTAAAATGTCAACATTAAAATAATTTTCAATATTTTATGGAAGGAAAACAACAAGAAGTTTCGCCCGCACCCCAAACTGGTAGCAGACATCTTCTCAGCAGATGGAATGGACACACTTGCAGCTCAACAAATCAGCGGATCTCCCATCACCATGAAGCAGCTAACACCACCGGGGCGGGAGCAAGAACACCAGATGCGTTCGGGGATCATTTTCTTCTATATGTGCAGACAGTTTTATGACATGTCCCTGCCACTGGCAATGGCAATGTGTTAATCTGATGATACGGCTAAGCTGCATTCACTAATAATCAACGCACTATTCTCGAAGAAACCGAGCACTAGGCAAGGATAAATTTGACAACAACTGAAAATCACAGCTGCAGCTTAGCATGATTTCAGGAACGAAAATCACACTTATGGGCTCATGGATCACGAAATCATGATTTATTATGGATTTGTTTCATGAAAATGTGATTTTCTCGATCACGTTTACGGGAACTAAGTCATGAATCCAAACTAACTAGTAGTTCAGGTTATCGTGATTTTTTGTTCACGAATACCGGGACGGTTTTTTTGCGTTTATCTGTTCTCGTAAGTACAGTTGCACCTTAAGGAAAACTTAAGGTGCATATTGCAATACATGCAATAGATAAAATTATGAATATCTTCTGAACACACACACTTAGAAAAATTGATGTAAATTTAGGTGCTCTGAGACTGACATATACGAGCGTCAATTTTGACATAAAATTGAGTCATATAGACGCGAAATTCAGCTCAATCAAACGTACTTTCGAACTTTTCAGTATAGGAGCACTTAATTTTACATGACATGTTTGCTTACGTCTCATCCTTTATGTCAAATATGGATTCCGTTACGTGTAAGATTAGATATTTCTAAGTGTGCACTTATACGCCAAAATGTACGCATTCATCAGAAAACAATAAAGTTCATGAATTTTTACTTTTAAACCACTGTGCATGGTTGAACTAGAGAGGGTCTAGTATAAGAGAGGAGCGGATTCAGAACAAACTGCCTTGGCAGGCAACATATGGTGATTTCTAGCAACACTGCCAATGCAATCAAGATAGGCGCTGCTCGATTGGCTCAAAACCAGCCAGTCCGCTCCTCTCTTATACTAGACGCTCTCTAGGTTAAACTATCGATTTATGTCAATAGATTAATGGCTTCGTTCAATCTTCTAAAACAGCTTTCTAGAGGATACGTTTTTTTTTTTCATAAACTGTTCGGAGGATTAAAATCCACAAGAGCTGTCGTTTTTAGGAGTTGCGAGCATGGTGACAACTCATTATAGTGGCGTCCGGTATACTGGAACGCTTAACAATATACTGCTTGCACGAAAGATTTAAATGAAGGTACAAGCTCTAACCCGACATCCCTTATAAACTCGTACCTTACACGAACAATATCATAAATGCTAAGCTACCCTTAGGGTGTGATGATATCCCAAATAGGTAGTTAGGCACCTCTTATGCTTATTTTATATGCGGGTACAACACAAAATACTGTACAATTGATCTAAAATGACACTTTCAATGTGTATCCCTTAAAAAAACGACAAAAAACCAGTCGCAAATCCTATGCAAAGTAATATATGTATAGATTTTAATAGCAATAATACTTATATGAGAACATACTATATTTTTATGAAATGCATTTTTCGTTTATCGAAGTTTTCAGTTAGTAAGAAATTAACCAAATATGATCGCATAATTGAAAAGAAACGTTACTTTGCAAGCATTAGCAGACTTAAACCTTACGGTGCATTGAGTAAAAAGGCACCAAAGATAAAATCTGTCAAGCATAGAGCATGAATGTCAAACTTAATTTTGAAATTATGCCAAAGAAGTGGAGAAAAACGATTTGTTTGCTTCAATTTATGTAACGGTGAACGTGTGCACTAATGTGTTGAAACAGGGCTATACATATTGGTAGAACAAGGCAAACAATCATGTTCAAATTATTTCAGGATATAGGTATTCAGTTATGCGAGAAGCACTTATGAACGATGGTCTCGGATTATAAGCGGTTCAAAACTATGGGACAGAATTTGCAGAATTAACGGGTTGCATATTTAGTTTGACAAAAATTTCCCATGAAGTTTCCAGCGCATTTTCTAGGCAGATGTGTAACTTCACAATCATTGTAAATGAATCTAGCTTAGTGTAATTGGTATAACCCAGCATGCCAGCATTTAATGCCTCCACCGCATTACTGGTTGTGGTGGTTGAATAGAAAACATAAGGCCGCGGGATTGTGTACCACATTACCGTAAACTAATTCTCGCTTTTCCTCTTTACTTTCCTCTTTCATTGAGGTTTTGCTTTGAATAATTCGCTCTTTCTCTTCATAATTCTCTCGAAATAGACTCAGAAACTCTTCACGTTCATTATTGATTCACCAACGAGAAGAGGAAAAGAGAGTTTCGAAGCATATACTGCTATGTTTTACAAGAACTACCATCCACATCTTCAGGAAGGCCATAAAAAGCCTCGCGAACATCAGCCGCAAAGTCATTGTCCATGATGCAACCGGAGTGTTAGCATCAATTTTCGTTTCTTTCACTGCTTATCTTAGTTTCCAGCGTTGGTGCTTTTAAAAGTACTGTTGCTTCTTTATTATACCTTTTTTAAGCTTCGGTGACACCGTTTCAAAAGGATAAACGTTTTATTATCTTCCTGATCTGTTTGTGTGAACCCATTGTGTATGACGTTAATCGTTAATTATATCGAGTGACAGAAAACTGTTCTTCATTATACGTACAAGAAAGCTGTAAGCGGGAAGATCAATTTACATCAAATACCGTTACGGATTCATCTACTGGTTGGAGAAAAAGAAACTAACGGGTGAAGTAAAACAGTGCTTGCTGAAGAAAAATTGCAAAAAAGCAATAGTTGTTTTTCCAACGAAGAACGGTTTGCAAGGAGGACCTACTGCAAGAACTTGTGGTAGTTTGTGAATAGTGATTGAAAAAAAAATCGGAAACCACATTTATCAAATTAAAGGTATGAGTTTTCATCATGATCTACAAATATTCAGAGTGCAATCGGAATCTTCAGACAGTGATTCAATCTGGGAAAAATGAATTATGCTAATTAGTGACATCTTAGAACAGTGCAGCATATGTACAGTGTATTGAAAAAAGAAAAAAAAAAAAACACGAAGCAGAATGCTCAAATGAACCATAACGGAAACGGGACATCGGAAATTTCATCTCGACCTTTCGCGATCCAGCTATTGTTGAGCGAACGATGTATCCATATTGCAGTGTGTTGGTGAATGGTATCTCAGCGCAAATCTGTGTCACACAAGATGCCCTCTCGGAGTATAACTGTAGATTAGAATTGCGCTCTTGAATGCAGGAGGAATACTAGCGATTATAATACTGCAGGTCATATTTGTCGTTTTGTGGATGATAATCAATGCTACTGTGGAATTTGGGGTCAATTTATTCGATCTAGGGGTTTTCTGCGTAACGGTAAAAAGAACACAAATTATCTGTATAAAATTTCTGGTTTGTAACGGATAACGGGCCCGGTTCCCGTTGAAAGCGATTTTCACGTGTGGGTATTTCGTGTGCTCCAGATATCATTGGCAAACGAGATGAAGCCATAGTGTTTCCATTTCAAATCAGTTATGACTTGATTATCTTTGCTTTTCAGTGATCAGTCTTATGGTGCTCCGAAATGACTAGTGACATACTGAATTTTAATTTGATTTTTTAAATTAATTACTAATACTTGACCTACAAATGTTATCTCTTGCTACAAAGGAATATACAGGAGGTTCGTTAAAGCATACCTACTTTAATTGCTATCCTTAACTGTCATCTGTTTTTATATGACTTTGTTTTCTATCTCTTTCTCGTATACTATACTAAATACAGATAGTGTTTATTACAACAAAACAGGACAGTTAAATATTCTGATATTTATCAATGATCCATTCGCAATAATTTTTAGTTTTATTAATTATTTCGAATAAATGTGGGAAATCTAATAGGGATTGGAATTTTTATTTACATTATTCAATGATACTGAGGATTTCGAAAGAAAGTTAATTGGATAAGTTGAAAAAAACTATACTATTACATATTTTTTACAAAATTTTGACTAATTATGGTAAATATGAGAATCTTACAGTTACATTTATATTTTAATGATATAAAAACCTGTAATGAATCAACATATTTAAGGGTTCTATATTATTGGAGCTTTGGTTTAAATGGTTTTTTTTAATATATATTTTTTTTAAATACATTTTACGTCATTTTCATGTTAAAACCACCATTTGATGGTTTAGTAGAAAAACATTCATTCTGATTACTTAAAACAAAAACGGTAACTGAACCATGAAATACCGAAAATACCTCGTTCACGCTCCAGCCTATCTTGTTAGGTTAGGTCTCCAGTTTCTTGATCGTCCTACACTTCATGCCTTGCTCCAATAAGTCTAACCAGCAAGCCTGGTGCGCTCCTTTACATCTTGTACCGGCTTGATATACAGTTCCATGAGCCAAGTTTTCAATGGTTAGTCCATTTTCGTCGGCTAGGTCCAAGCGTATTGTTCCGATTCGTATTTACATTGTTAGCTTCCTGTACTGTTGCTTATTTTTACTGCTGGGTCTGCCCAACCCGCTGGCCGGAGAACCATCGTACAGTATTTAGAGTTCCACGCTGGCACGAGAACGATGAACAGCAGCCCCTAACATGGTGAACAGACGCTATTTTGAACCGCTCCTAAGATGGCGTCTTATGAGCGAATTTTCTCATTTTAATGAGGACCATCTATTGACATATAAATTTAGTTATACAACTATCGATATCGATGAGGACGAGTTGGCGAACATTCTAGAGACTTGACGTCTTGGACAAAGCTGTTTCTCCAACAACAACAGCAACAACAACAACAACAACAACAAAAAACGACTCTTTTGAAAAATTAAAAATTTCAATACCAGTTTTCAACAAAAAAATGTTGCTGAAAAGGAGTTTTTTTTTTAAATCTACATTCAAGTCTACCTAACTCGATATTGAAGGCATCATCAAGTAGGGACTATACCGAGTTATAGAGGTTAACTTTGGAAGTTTGTATGGGAAAAGTGATTGAAGTCGAGTTAGGGAGAATATCGACTTAGTGAGAGATCGAGGAAGATTTGATTGTATTTCGATATATTCATTAACAACCATGTTAGTTTATATTTTTTCCTGATGTAAATGCCTTTTTTTTCTGGTTTTTACTTCTTAATTTAAAGAAATTGTTGAAAAACATGAGGAATATCTAATATTTTAATTAACCTATACAGGTACGATGAATAAAATGCAGGGATGCTTCCACTCACTTGCTATAAAAAATTATTTTTCGGAATTATGAAATCATTAGATAATAAGATATAATATAATGATATTTGGTACATGTAAGTAACAATAACAGGTTGTAAAGTATGTTTAGACTCATAAAACCTGTAAATTTTGCTTTTGCAAATGAATTTGCTTTATGATTTCTGAGCGTTCACTCAGAGTGAACACTCACGAATCGTAAAATCGCTGATTGTGGCGCACTGAAGGCAATATTAACAGCTGTTATGCATCAAATACATACTCCACGATCTCTTCTTGTAACTTACAAGTACTAATTATCATTGCAACATCTCATGATTTCATAATTCCAAAAAAACATTTTTTTTATCACTGCAATTGGAAGCAATCGGATGATGAAAAACTAAAAAAAAAAATGATATGAAAAAAGTGAAGTTTGACGTCACGGAAGGTATCCTTCACAAACACTATGACATACATGAACGCCATTTTACGATTATTTCCACACCTGAATAAATCTCATTGCTACGAGGAGGCACGGGGTGGTCTTAATTTAGTCAAAAATATGCTACGTCATTACGGCATGTTCCCTTATAAACTAAATCTGTTATTTGTCAAGTTAGGTGAGAAATGCGCAATATAGCATTGCCTACTTCATTTCGCTTCGGAAAACCCTCCTTAAAGAGGTTATTTGACTTCCTCGTAGTATATATTTTACATCAGCCTTTAATTTAACTCATGATCAAAGAATTTGATGAATACATGTTGGATGTAGCTGATTTTCTATATTGTTTTTTGTGGCGTATGAGGGACAAAGAAGTGCTAATCCCTGCTTTTATTTCAATCGTGGAAAAGTGTGACATTAATGAATGTAGTAAATTAGCACATAACAATGATTTTTGATCAAAGCGCTTCAACGTTTCTTTCGTAGTCCGTTATAAGATAACTGGTGCTTTTTTAACGGAACAGTCTACTACCTTTTCATCCTGGTTTTCTCAAAAGCACAGAAGCGGATTTTAAATACTGTTGAAAATGCAGCGGAAATACCCCTCATTTCCTCCTGCTGGAAGAACGAGGATGATAAGAGATTGTTGCGTTATCACTCCGAGACTGAGAAGGCAGTTAAAGCAGTATCCGGTCACCTGGATGAATGTCGCTTGGCTGAATGCCGTTGGTCGAAATAACGGAGAGAAAAATCATCCATTTTTGAATAATACTAGATCCCAGATTTGGAGTTTGAAATTGAGAAATGGAGAAATTTGGTATTTCCAGAGCTTAAGATTTGAGTAGAATTTTACGATCCGGGCCTTAGAACAAATGTCATGTTTCTTGTCTATTCATAATAATAATTCTGAAGTTTTACGGGATTCTGAAGATTGGAAAATGTTCAAAATGATGTATTATGTATGAACTAAAATTTTACATATTTTATAGATGAATTATTTATTATTTTAAACGTGATAAGATCTTTTAACTTATTGTCATGGTTTCTGGTACTGGTGATTCAAAACCATGGTATTGTTGTTTTAATATCAACGTTTGCTCAATATCTGATGTCGTTTTAATATCAACGTTTGCTCAATATCTGATGAAACTTCAACCACACCAACATTAGTTAAACTGATTTTCAGGAGGGCAGGTCATACAAGGACATCATATTTTCGCCCTGATTGAAGTACAAGGGCTTCAATGTATTTGTTTGCAATGCAAGCATTCGGCAGTATAGCAACACCTCCATGTTGATAAGATAAATTGTAATATAGTTTTAAGAAAAATCTGATTGAACATAATTAAACTAAATTGAGCTGAATTTATCAGAGACCATTCGCTCAATGACTAAATGAGCGCAACCGACGAAATTTCTCATACAAATCGATTTTCCGTTTTTCTCACCAACACACTTTTTGTACATTTTTGCATCCGGGTGAAATTAATTAATACGGTATCGTCAAAAATCCACTTATTACTTTTATTTGTTATTTTTGTTCGACATTAGGGTTTAATACTCTAATGTATCTTCAAATCAATTTCTACACCCATTATTGAACATAATTCAAGGGGAACTCACCGCCATAGAAACGCATAAATAATGACAAACGACTAAGTATCAACTTAATGTTCATATACCATTTCACTTGCATTGCATCTTTTCTAGATGATACTTAGTATATTTTCTCCTTCAAGATAGCCAACACTTCCTTGCGTGCCTCTAAAATCTTACCACCGAGAAACTTGGTGTAATTAAACTCAAGATGAACATAGCTCGACACTACAGATTTCAAATGCGCGGGACAAGTACATTCTCAGGCCGCTTGGAAAAGAAATCATCGGCCCGCTGACTGGCTGGGCGGAGTACCACTTGCAAACGCAGTCGATCAAGCACCTTGGAGTAGGTATTGACAGACATCTATGGGATTGAACGAAAGTTTGGAGAAATTATTCAAGCGAACTTTCCACTCTCATTCGGATGTACAAGCAATTTATTTGGACGATAGGTACCTACCTTGTTTGCGAAAGCAAATGCTGGCTCAGCTCATGGCTACGTGGTAATGACCTTCAATGCCGTCAAGACAAAAGGAATTCGCGTGAAGCTACGATGAATGCCTTTTGTCTTTATACTGTTTTGCGGAGTACTGTGCAGTAGCATTTTCAATCAAGGCGCGTTTTTTGTAAAGTTAAATAAATAT